AACCCGTTGCATACACTTTATGAGGCGAGCGGAACAAATGGATTTGATTGGATTGGAAGGGGATAGGTGTGTAAGGAGGGAAAAAATCAGCATTTTTTAAAGTGTTGCTCGGTAAAGGGCCAAAATCCAGACTGCCAAAATACAAACATGCAAAATAACTGTCTGAAAAGAAGTGGTTTTAAACAAACGACAGGGATATGTCGGGATTTTGACCGGTCTGTGTCTTGGCCTGGCGGGATTTTTGTTTTTCGGTATGTTCGCTGTCGGTATTTTGGATGTTGATATTTTGGTTGTCAAAATTTTAGCTTCCGCGCTCTTGGCTGTGGGCATTTTGACTTGTCGGGATTTTAGCACCCGGCGTTGTCGGTTTTAGCTAATCGCGATTTTCGCGGTCCAGATTTTGGCAATCGGGATCAGCGCCGGAGCTTGTCGTGATGCTGAAGAAATTTACAGGCAAAAATAGGGGGTTAAGAATAAAAAGAACAAAATAAACTGAAGTTTAGCAAATTCCTGAAAACAGGACCGAAGTTCGATACGTAATTACGAGCCCGGGAAAGGTGTCACCGGCGCCACTTTGCAGCGCGCGCGATTCGAGAAGCCAAAAAGGAGGCGGTGGACCGTGTGAGCGGATGGTGCCCCGGGAAAAGCCGCTTTCCGTTGCCGGAGAAGCTGCAAAAAATCGCGGGAGGCGGGCGATTTGAAAACTCGAAACGTTCGCTTGCGGCTGGGAACGGTGGGGCCAAGAAATCGAGTGGAGGGAAAAGGGCAAAGGCAATAGACCTATGCCCAGGCTTGGGCTTAGGCTTAGGCTTAGGCTTGGGCTTAGGAATAGGCTTATAGTAAGATAAAAAAAAATACCTCCCTTAAAAACGACCTTAAAAACGATCGACCCGATAAAAGGTGATATCTTAAGCCAGCCGGAAATTGGAGCCAAGCCGAGGTGTCGCTGTTGACCTTGAAGTGTACCTCCATCCTCCCCGCCCAGATCCCAGCAGGCGGACAGAACGACATACACACACAGACGGACAGAGCTCTAAATGCTCATCGTAAATCGGGACGGAGACCCCCTGGCGGGCGGATGGACAGGCAGACGAACAGACAGACAGACAAGGAAACGGACAAAGGACCCGGGTTTGAGTCAACTTTTTGGGTGTGGAAGGGCTGTTGCGAATTTAAAGCAAATCCTAACAAGCCTGGTAAGCTAAGCCTAAGCCTAAGCCGAAGCCGGAGCCTAAGCCAAAGGCCCAAGCCCAAGCCTAATCTAACAAGGGAAGGGCAATTGCACGAAGTGGAAATTCGAAAAACGCTCGCGGCTGCCCCTAGGTTTTCGACTACGGCGATTCATGCGCTATTCAGAATTAGCCACCGAGGTCTGTAAAGCGAGATACCGCACTTCCGGAAAAAGCATCAAAGCTCAGCCACGCCTGAGCACAAGCTTGAGCCGAAGCCTATGCCTAAGCCCACGTCTTGGCGACGCGATCCCAAAATAAACGTGATACCTTTCAAGAAATAAAATTCTAAAAAACTACGTTGGAAAACCCCCCTTTGCTGCTGAATGTCCAGAGGAATGTATCGGAATGCAGGGGCAAGTTGCCAGCTTCGCTTCTTCTACCCCTGATTCCTCTTTTTCCGCTTCTTCCTCCCTCCCTATCCTTCCAGCCAACCGCCATATCACCGAATCGACGCCGCGGGGTTTTGTGAGCCTGACCACGGGGCGCAACAATCCGGTTCAACCCCCCGCCCCAATCAGGCGTACGCAGCACACAGCTCGTAAATTCGAGATTTGCCCTCGATATTTACGGTCCAGAGCCACCGATGCTCACGATCAGACACAGGTAGATGATCGGGGTGGGTGTTTAAAGGGACTGGGAAGGGGAGGAACGGATGGATTTGGATCTTGTCTGGAAACCCGATAAATTTTAAGGAGCTTGGAAGGATGTGAATCGTATTGACTCGTTTTTGATGGACTTACCGGTAAGACTCTAGATAACCCCCCCCCCCCCCCCCCCCCAGCCGGCACCCAACTTTTGTATCTCGGCTCCTTGTTCATCTACAGGTGTGTAAAGTATACCAAAATACTCGCCAGAGCAAGACGAACATTTTGGTATACTTCACACACCTGTAGATGAACAGGGAGCCGAGATACGGTAGGTGGGGGTCGGCTGGGGGGGATTATCTGGAGTTTAGCCGACTTACCATTCTCCTAAACGCGAGAGAGAAGGAGTGGGAGGGAGGGAGGGAGGTAGAGAGAGAGAGCGAGAGAGAGCGAGTGAGAGCAAGTGCCTGGGACACGCAATGCGCACGCCACTGTTACGTCGTAAATAAACTGAATCCATTATGAAATGGAAGTACGGATCGGTGCGTTGCGTCGCGGTCGCAGCGAAAATCTGAACTTCTCCAGCTCTTCCTGATTCTAACTACGCCGCAAAAATCAGAAGAGTCATGCAAAAGTGAAAAAGAAAAAAGAACAACGCGAAAAGCGAAAGCGTGAACGACCACCTAGTAGCTTCCCTGCAAAACAATACCCTCCCCCATTTTTCTGTGGTCGCGTTGTGGTTGCAATCCTCTCGGTGCCGAGGTGTCAATCGCATTGCCCCGGGTGCTCAATCAAAAAGCGGCGCACCGCATCTCGCGATGGAATGCCGTTCTACGCGCGCGCGCCGGTGCACAAATTCTGCCCCTGGGTGAGTGTTAGAAAGCGAAAAATAAGAAGTGAGAGAGATAGTGAGTGAGTAAGAGAGAGAGAGACACAAACGGTAACTTTTCCCCCTCAAGCAATGCCTCAGCCGCCCAATTCAACCCATTGTCAAAAGGTGTGACGGGTTGAGGGTGGGGAATAGATTACCCAGCCGACACGCTCCTTATAGGGTTATCGGGGCGGAAAACAAGATGTAAAATAGAGCGGACACTTGGAGAAAGGCGTTTAATCAGAATTGAAAACTCTCGTAAGGACTCTAAGGAGTTCAGCTTTCAAAATTCAAAAATTCCGATCTGCTACTTTATACGGAAAATTTAGATTTGCGAATTTATCATTTGAAAGGCTAGGCGTAGTGTAGACAAACAGGGAACAAACAAAAGCGATACGTGGTTGGTGACATATTTCAACGGGTGGTCGTGGGCCTCGTGCCAACATGTTTTACAGCCATCCCCCGACCCATCCCTCTAGCTATAAGCTTGCAGCTGTCGTCATGCTCACCAAAGCTCAAGCTGAACTTTGAATGAGTTAGCGAAGATTTGGCATAAATGACATGCTAATAAAATTACGAAATTCTTTTCTCCGCGATTTAACTGATTTTCCAGGTTAACTCACCAAAATTGGAAAAATTCTGAAGTCTCATTTCAGGCGTCGTTTGAAAATGTGTTTTGAATAATTTATTGCACACAAAACGCTAAATAAAAATTCGTTCAAATACGAGCAATCGGTGGCTAGCGACCTGGAGCTGATGGCGGGACCCGTAGTGGTGGAAAAAGCAGCAAAATCAAAGCGTTCAGACGAGCAGACTCTCGTCCGACATGATCCGGGCACCGCGCTGCAGAGTATTTGGTTCCTGGCGCAGTCGAATTCCAGGAGACGCCGGTTCGCGTGCCAACGAGATACCGTAATCTGAAGGCAAAAATTTGGTGCGGTTCGATTGAGCAAAATAGGGAACAAAAAAAGAGAGCTAGAGAGAGCGAGAGAGAGAGCAAGAAAGAGAGAGAGATAGAGCGAGAAAGAGAGCGAGAGAGAGAGGGGGTGAACATTGTTTAGCAGTTAAACTTTAACTTCAAGCTTACCTTGTTTCGTCTGTGGCGGCTCACTCCGTCGAAGATTTGAGAGTCCGAGCGCTGTCGTCAAGCCAGGAACTTGGCTGAGGCGATGTACGGACGGCTGAAATCTCATTTTTTGATGACTCTAACTCTTTTAAAACCGTTAGGTTCAGTTTTATATAAATCAATTACGCCAGTTTAATCCAAACTTAAATTTACCTGTCTCGGCCCAATGCCCGGCTGCGGGCTCGGCTCATTTTTCGGGGCCACCAGCCGCATCTCGACTGCAGAGTGGTAGTGGCCGATGGCCGAATCGTTGCGGCGTTCAATCTGAAGAAATTAAAATTTCTTTTGGAGCAATGTCTACCTGAAATCGGCTTTTCCTGCCGTCACTGATCCCGGAAACGGAAGCCATCGAGGATGAGGCTCCATTCAACGAAGCTGAGGAATTTGAGTCATCCAGGCTCATCAGAGAGGATTTTCTAAAAGAGCTGTCGTTGTAATTTGAGTTTGATCGCTTTTTCCAAGCCTTACAACGCGTCTAAAGCATGTCACGCGCTAAGGCTTAACGAATGCTAGGTGAGTTACGTGACTCAGCCGCTACGCTTTCGAACGAAACCCTTGAAATCCCTTACCTTATTGATTGCCTGATAACTTCCGCGAGTGCACTGCTCGGTTGCGAATTCCTTCGTAGCTCCCCGTAGGCTACGGAGGGCTCCGGGGCGTCGGGCAAAATCTGCGCTGGGTTGACGCGTCGTAGGCCACGCGTCGCGGCTGGCGGTCCCGGCTCGAAGGCCGTGCGGCTGGCGCGCCAGGATTTGCGGTACTAAATCAGGAGTTGGGTTACGGTAGGTAAATTCCAATACGGTCTCTGTGCTGGTCTAGATAAAATTACAGAAACCCAAAAATATAATGGTTTGAAAAGAGATCTCTGATAGCTTCATCGTTAAGCGCGGATAAAGTCTCCGGTCGTCCCGCCAAATCTCTGCTAAGTTGCCGCTACTGTCTCGATCCCTTTAAAACCCACATGTCCTGTTGTAGGCTGCAACTCCTCATCCACCCGGTCAACCGTCCATTCCGTCGGGATACGGTGCTGCGAGTGGATGCCAGAATCCGTCGACGACGCATCGGCCGGGGAATAGTCAGCCGGAGGGCTTTTTGGGTCCTGAAATTTGCATAAATTTGTATAAAGTATTTGAATTCCAATTGGCAAGTTTTCCGATAGTTTTTAAAATTGTCACTGTCTCCTCGCGATGCGGGGGTGTGTATTTTTGCTGTTTGCAATTTTTGCGGTAATTTTAGCTCATAATTTGTCATTTTCTTTCCTGTTTTAGAATCTCCTCTACCCTCCCGTTGCCCCGGCGACACTGCGCATTCTTCGGGCGTCCTTTGGCACAGTTTGTAGCCTACGTATTTATGTAAATTTTTGCATTAGGAGACCGTCCACCAGAATGTGCTCGACCCGGCGCGATACCAGACTCAGATGAGCGGGGTAGCGCTGGATGCTGAGGTGGCTTTTGGTCGTTTTTTATTTTTAAAGGTACCCTCAAGGCACGAAAAGCTATGGATTTCCTAGAAAATCGTAAACCGTTAAAATAAAATCGAATTCAGGAGGCTTTCTGGGCGACTTTTTGCCGCGATGAGTTGGCTCCGATCTTCGTGAAGAGTCTACTCTGCCCCTTGTACCATATCCTGATTGTTGAGTATCGGAATAAGACGACAGGGGTGAGGAGAATGAGAGAGAGACGAGAGAGAGAGCGAGAGACAGAGAGAAACGAAGAGAAGCGGAGAGAAAAATGTATTTTTTCCAGCTCTACCCAACCATTGAAGCCGCCCTGGAGCTGATCACCGATGGAAAAGTATAAATTTCACGTTGATGCGCAAAAGTATGCCAATTTTAGAGTCACCTCTGCTCCCACAAGGGCATCCATTCCCCACTCGGCCTGGCAGATACGGAAGGCGAAAAAGTTGAGGTACGGAATATCCTTATCGTCACCCCTTGGCGCCGTTTTCAGAAATGGGCAGACCTCGAGTCAAAGTCCTGCCTGGCGCTGCAGACCCACGAAAAGCATCTGTTTATGGGATGCGCGTTTGGGGTGTTTGAAAGTGGAAAAAAATTTTTAGGAACGTTCCGTTTAGACCTCAGACGACCGAGCCCCCTTCCATCTACTGCCCAACTCGGACAAGGACTCGCTGATCGACTTATTATGTCGGTTCAACCGAATTTTGACAGAAAAATACAACAGCTGATTTGCAAACTTTGCCATAGGGTCCGGAGTCAAAAAATTTATAGGCTTACCGGATCTGTGAATCATGATAGCCCAGTTTTTTCGCCTTTTTCGAAAAGGGATATTTTTCGTCAACAATCGATTTTTTTGGTATTTTTTGGACAAAAATTTCTAAGGTTTTTTACGTTTAGGAATAGCAAATACGGTTTAAGAACGGTTACGCGACGCGACCGTGATGCGCTTAAAAAGCAACGCTGGAGGAGCTAACCAGTGAACTTCAAACGAATGTAATTCCAGTGGGTTCCCTCCCCGTCAACCCGATCACCCCCAAAAAAGAAGGCGAGATGCAGTGCGCCCTCTACTCGTTCCAGTACAAGGAACAACTTGTAATTCAGGTATTTTGCTTTTTTCGACATTTTGACATTTTGAGGATCGTATCTGCTGCTGGGGCGCCGAGTGCGTGACCATCTACTACGATCAGGTCGGATTTTGGGCTCATTTCCGACTTGTAAAACTTTACAAATACCAAAAAATTAATTAAAGATTGGGTATTTCGACGTTGGTATATTGGTGCATCTTAGAATTATACCGCACACTGAAATAACGCTAAAAAACGCACCCTGTTTTAGCCCGGCTCGAACCCGTGGCCCGTGATCCGGCACGTCGTCCCACCCGCCTGGGTCGGATTCGAGTGGTCAGTCAAAAACCCAGATTTCCGCAATTTTCTCTGCCATTTAGCAAGCCGACCGAGGTGAAGCGCATCAAGCTGAGGGTAAGAAAAAAATTACGGTAAATTAATTCTCAAATTGTTAGTACAAATCCAACTCGCGGCTGGCCAACAAGCAGTACGAGCTGGACGCGCCGGACGAAGGGCCCGGTAAGCGGATTTTTGTGTTGTAGTCGATTCAAAATTCAGAAAATCTGGACCTAATTTTTAAAGGGGCTTGACAGGTCGAAAATACCTTTCAAAAAAACCGGAATTTCGTGTACAGAACCCTATTTTCAGACTACGAACTCTTGGCCCTGCTGGCCCTGGTGGGCATCCTCTTCGCGCTGGCCGTGGTCGTCGTGTTTGCCGGCTTTCTGCTCTGGTTCTGGGCCAGCACCCTGTAGCTCCAACGACTACGCGACGACACCCCAACACGGCACCAACTTTAAAACCGCACCCACCCCAAATTCGAATTTTCCCGTGATTTCAGCTGCTATTTATGAGTGTGTTTCGCCGGTTTGAATAAAGTATTTTTACCCTGCGAGCTAGTGATTTTGATATTTTTTGAGTCCTAAGTCACCTACCGCTTGCCGGTGGTCGCGAGCACGTTCGGCTGCTGCCTGGCCAAGGCGTCGATATGCCGATATCCGCTCGTAGGCCGGGTCCTCGTGCTCCTGATCGTAGTCACGGTCCCTGGTCTCCCGGGGCTTCGCCGGGATTTCATCCCGAGCACTACGGGGAGTTTCAAATGACGCTTCTGGAGGTTCCTGAAATTTAGCATTGCCAATTTTTATGAAAAAACATAAAACGTATCGATTTTTCGATCAAATGACCGTTTCTGGACCAAAATTTCGAATTTTTCACAGTTTTGGCTAGTTTTTCTAGTTAAAATCGTGTTTGTCACCCCAGCCCCCGATAATGTGAAAGATCCTAATAAGCTAGCATCTGGAGACACAGCTAACCCAGAAGCGAGAAAAGAAACCCTTCCGCAACGCAACACGCAACACAGCGATAGAGCGAAGAGCTATTGATCCCTTGGAAAACACACCTCTCTCTGGACAACCTTCTTCGGCCTCTTCTTCACCTTCGAATATTGAGCATCAGGTGGTGGCGGAGCCTCAACCTTCACCTCCTCCACCTCATAATCGTCACTCTGCTGTGATCCCGAAGACGTCGACGGGCCTTCCGTCTCGCTATCGTCGGTGGGTATCCTCTCTTGCACCTGCAGCACCCAACGTATTCCAGGGGCCAGCCGGTGGTGGTATCAAATGGATCGGGAAGGGAAAGCGACGAACCGTGAGATAGTTGGTGCTTTTGGGGTCAAAGGACACGAGCGAGTGCAGGGAGGGGATCGTGCCCGTGGTGGAGGAGGAGCAGAATGACTGGAAAGTGATACCGTACTTGGGGTCCGAAATTCCGAAATGGCGAAAATTGTACCCGAAATTGAGGTCAGGGCGGATCGATTAAATTTAGGTCATTTTCTTTGGACGGAAATTACGCTGTCCAGAGGAAATTCGCGTTGTCTGGGCCGTGGCTACGCGACGCAGCTATTTACGCGCTAACTCTGTGGCTTTTCTGCATAAATTTTTAGAAATTTTGCATGGGAATTTTTTCAATAGATTTCTTTAAAAAATGTGTTGTTGTTTTGCTAGAAAAACGCAAAGCGAGGTGGAATACCTTTGGAAATTTGGCTAGGTTAGGAGAATTGCTAGATTCCTGATTTTTCCGGTCATTAAAATTAAATTTTCATAAAAAACTTTTAATCGATCGTCTCTGACCTCACGAATTACAGTAATACTGGGTGCATGCAAAACCCGAAATCCATTGATATAAAAACTTACAATCCGGCTGTGCCGATTGCCACGAGAGTCGCGTTTCCGGAAGATACCGCTGGCACGATTGGCATCCGGGTTTGGCGGGGCTCGGGCCATTGGTGGCTGAAAATGGGAATTGTCTGTCTCTCTCTCTCTCTCTCTCTATCTCGCTCTCTCTTTCTCTCTCTCTCTCTCTCTTTCGCCATCTCATTCCCTATCGCTCCAAATTCGAAAAGCCTAACCTCATCCCTCTCCTCTTGCACCACCCTCGATTGTCCCTTCGATTTCCGCTTGGAGTACTGTAGTTGTGAAGCGGCAGGCTGACGTTGGGGTGGCTCCTAAAAGACAAATTAACGTATATTATACAGCCACTTTTATAAATACCGGATCAACATCTTCATAGTTCTCGTTAGGAAACGCTTGAATGGGATGGTTATTCAGAGGTGGCATCCGATAATTCGGAGCACTTCTCACAGCCGATACATCTTCACGAGAATCATAGGATGAATTGACGTATCCGGAACGTACGGAGGAGCTCAACGGAATGTTTTAACCTGATATCTCAAAAATTGTTCTTACCCCGAATCTGGCAGTGATCGAGTTGGAGCACGAGATCGAGGTCTTTTTTCGATATCTCCAGATACGACACTTTCCGCGCTAACGGTTGGAAGTGAGGCCTGGAATATCGATACATTGCCTTGTTACTTTGTAATAAGCGACTCTACGCTGTCATGTTATCTAATACTCCCTGAACTTACCGATTTGCTCTTCCGCTTCCGCTTCTTCGGGGTACATAGGACCACCGTAGTCGTAATTAGGCAGGTAAGAGCCAGCACGCCGTGAATTACGGACTGCGCCGCTTCGAGATGGACGAACGGGATCAGGCAGTCGTCTAGAAAATGTAAAAATTTATGAAATACGTTCAGAAGCTACGGCATCTACGGTAACACCCCAAAATCTGCTTACCTTGGACCCAGTACGAGTTCTTCAAATCGAAATGTGATGAACATCCCGGCGTGTACTTTAAGAAAAATGAAAATGAGAACGGCAACCCAAACGAGAGGAGCAACGCGTAGTGGCTGGTCGTTGGGAACACTCCTTCGTACCTGAAAAGGAGAAATTAGCCTTAAACAGCCTAGTAAGTCCCGAAAACCGACCCCTGTCATCGCTAGGCCTCGACAAAACTTACCAGAAAAGAAGGAGCAGATTGTAGATGAAAGATATAAAATTTGTGGTGGCAAAGACTGCAAGTAGTGATCGTCGATGCTGGCAGGCTGCGAAAACACCGATGATGCAGCAGAGGATCTGAAATTTAGAAAAATGTTGATTTCTCTCTTGCCCTATCGCTTTCTCTCGTTCTATTATTTAACAACTTTGAGCTATGTTTCCCTCTCAATCCACCAATTCTCGCTTGGGTGGTGGTCAGAAGCCGCCAGCCTAGGGCCACCCCTCCTGCTTTCCCGTATGGCCCGGAGGCACAAATATTTACATACCGATGTCCCACTCACAGAGAGAGGGACAGAGGCACACACACACAAACACACCAATGGTGCAGGCACCCAGCTGCCCCGAACGGCTCGAACAAGACAAAAGCTAGGGTGGAAAATTTTGGGTTCGGAAAACGAACGCTATGGAGAGAGAGAGAGAGAGAGAGAGAGAGGAGAGAGAGAGAGAGATAGTTAGGTATTTTTTAAAAGTGGAGAATAGAGAGAAAGGGGGAGAGCTTGCATGGAGGGAAAGAGGTATGCAGATGACAACCAACACTGTACTGCTAGCTGGTGTTGAACTGCTGCAGTCTAAAATACACCTCCCCTCCCCCCCCCCCCCCCCCCCCCCCCCCCCCCCCCCCCTCCCCTAACTTTCCTATATTTTCTCGCTCATCGATCTTTCTATCTCTCTCTCCCCCAAGCTCTCTCTGGCTCTCTCTCTCGCGCTCTTTCGCTCTCTCTCTCTCCTCTTATTCCCTATACCTCGTACTCTACAGCACACTTCATACATTCATTCCCCTTTGATAGGTCGTGATACCCCACGGGCCAATTTGGACAGGTCCCGAAGCAAAGGCCAAGGCGGAAAGTGCGGGCGCCCCAAAGCGGGAATCTTGGATGGATGGACGGGGCCCAGAGACCCAATCGAGGACAAACACCACGGTGAGGACCCTGAAGACGGTGGGCAGGACATCGATCAATTGACCGGAAGAAGGGAAAGAGAGGTCGGAAGAGTGGAGAGGACAAAGAAACGAAGACAACATCATCACAGAATGCCGCCCCGACAATGTGTTCCAGCGTCTCCAATTACCCACTCGCGTTTGAGGAACGTCGCCACAGCACTTCCGGGCATTTGACGTTGCCAGATACCGGGGATGAAAGCGGATATGAGGGGAATTAAGGGAAGATGAGGAACAAGTTGTGGTAGATGAGGCAGTGAATCTCTTTTGAGATCGGGCTCGATCTCTGGCTCTCGATCTCTCTGTTTCATTTCTTGCGCTCTCTATATCGCTCTCTCTGTCTCCAAAAAATCGGCGCTGCGGCGCACTAGGTCTCGACAACTACGCAACACTACCAGGAACGCGCGCTCGTCTTTAGGCGTATTTCGGAATGATACAAAAGCACTCATGGGTCATTAAAGGAGAGTGAAGTTCGGGAATCGATCAATAGAAAACACCAAAACACCAAAACAGGAAAAATTTGATACTTCCCAGTTTCTTGAAAATCCGCTTCTAATTTCAGTTACATTTGAATTTCTTCCCGACCTACAACAAGGCCATGGTCACTTTTTTTGTTCACTCTTCCCCAAGTATCCAAATAAAACGCACATTTTGTGCCGACCTACGCTCCAATTCTTGAGCCTGGCGTATGTGGCTAAATCATGGGGGGGACAGCTGAGAGGGGCAATTTGACTGTAGGACACAGCCCCCGGGGGTTAGAGCGCGAAATGTGCGCGCCACGCGCCACACTGCCGGACAATACCCTGCGATGTAACCTCAACCAAGGACACTCTAGGGCTTCCTCTTTGCCTTTAGAGTCCCTTTAAACACTCACCCTATGCATCCCCTCTATCCTCTGGCCGGGTTTTACGAGGGGTTGACCTTGTAATCCGTAACGTAAAGGGTTGGGTTCCGTAATGGGAGAGCCGAGGGATCAAAGAGAGGAGCAGTAAGGTTATTTTTTAAAGGGGCTGGGAACTTTCAGATTTGACCCTCTCCGAAAACTAGGCCTCGACAACCATGCTATAGATAAAAATGCCGGCCAATTTTGGAGTCTAACGGAATCTGGTGGGGGTTTTCGATTTTTGAATTTCTTTTTGACCGGCTAAAGGGGCAGGCAAGGCACGTCTATTGATTTGCGCTGATTCGGTCTTCACATGGAGCTAGCGACCATTAATTGCGTAATCGATTACGGCCTGTAAATGCTCATAAATTTTCAATAGACTTTTCCAAGCCCGCGACACGTGACGCACGTGACATTTTCCACTGTGCAGGGATCGTAACCAATTACGCAATTTAAAGGTCAGCGTGAGAAAACTAATCAATAGCGATTCTACCATAAAAATTTAAAGGGTCCAGGAAGCCTCAGGATCGAACATCGCCACGACTGGGTCTAGACCGCCACATTTTAGACGGAGAAAACTCTTCTTATCTTGTATTTAAACTTTAATATTGTGTCATCAAAATGTCAAAATTAAGTGCACTGTATAGAAAAACGTAACTGTCGATACCCAGTTGACTCCATGAGTCGATTCCCCAGCCTTCCTGGTCCTGTTAAAGCCCGCCAGTCCGGAAGTACCCCTGCCTACGCTTGGTCTGTTTATTTGCATACGGCTAACGATCCTGACCTTTTTTGGGGTGGGGGCCGGGGGAAGTGGAATGGGATTAGTGCGCTTTGCATTGGTCCCGGCTTGCCCTCGAGATTAGCTAGAGGTGGGTGGTGGGTGGGTACTCGACGGGCCAAACACTGCAACCAATACAGCCACTGCGGCTAGGCGCTCGGCTGGACGCTTTTGGTATGCAGGTCCAGGTGCAGATCGGCGCAATGGAACAACTTTAAAGAGCTGGTACAACTGTCTCATCTGTTTCAACTTTAAACGATTTTAAGGTAAAAATTCTTCACTTAAAATGCCACACCTGGGCTGAGTGTTGACAGGTACGAATTACGCATAAAAATTGTTTTCTTTCTGCTCACACCTTATGCTTTGATGCAACGCCAAATTGTCTAGACCTAGTGGCTAGAAGGGGGTCGATTCCTAACCCCTTTACAGATATTTTTGAACGACAAATCGCTCTATAAACCGCATAAAAAGTAATTTTGGCGACCCGTCAGTTTACTAGCCCCTTTAGACCACTTTTGAACCTGTTGAAAAGCGCGCGTCCACTTAAGTGGGCTGGCTATTTGAAATTGCAATTAGACGGGGGTCACTTTCCGCACACAGCACCTTGCACGCTAGATCCGTAAGGAGGATAGGGGCGGAATGTGGAACGGATCAGGGTGCCATCAAAGAAAGGGGAAAGAAAAGACATAGATCTTGAAAAGCGATAGATAGGGCGAGAGAGAGGGAGAGAGAGAGAGAGAGAGAGAGAGAGAGAGAGAGAGAGACCGACTCGGCCCGTTTCTCATTTTTGACATGGCGCATATTAAGCGCAAATCCGGTTTTCCAACCGGAACCGGATGGGAAAAAGGGTCCAGGGATTACGGTATAAATTAAGGGGAATGTGAAACCAATAAACCAATAAAAACTAACCTGTAACAAATTGAAGGCAACCGGCAACCATAATCGCCCAATCAGATCGAAAGCCTGCCGAAGTAGCGCCAAAATAAGCCAGCTCGACGACAGCCAAATTAATAGGTGAAGCGCCATCTCGGCTTCGCGAGAAGTCGAAGCCAAGCTTCACCACCACCTCCTCGTCGACGCCGTGGAGGAGGAGAGCCCGTCAGACGGGTCGTTCGCTCGTGCTAAAACAACCTGGTGATTACGCAGCAAAAATAGGAGATGAAAGCAAGGCAATAAAAATGATCAATTATGGTCTGACAAGACACGCTTTTAATTAGCTAGTCGGCAGAGTGTGCATTTATGTGTTAATGCCTTTTTTAAGACGTCGAAAAATACGGTAAACTCATGGAAAGCGTTAGACAAAATGTTAAACGTTAAATACTCCATTTTTTAATTTAAATTCTGTCGTTTTTACGTTTAATTTTTATGAATTTAGGAAGTTTTGTGTTTAAACTCGTTGGGCTAAAAAGTCCCATCTTGATAACCATAAAAACGGCCGATAATTTTTCTGGTGTCAAAATCAGATGAATTACGGGGATTTTCGTGAGAAGGCTTTCCAAAAATGTCAGAATTTTAAAGAAAAGTTGCAACTTGCTTTATCTCAATTTAACAATATCTAAGCCTTCTCAAAAACGGTCGCCTGGAAAACAAGAAACCAGTGAAAAAATTAATAACTTAAAAAAGCTAGCGAGTAGGTAGCATATTAAAGGTGCCAAAAGCCGTGCCGGCTCGTTGCGCTCGACTGGTTGCCAACCGAGAGGCTAAGGACTCGCAAAAATATAAGTGGAGGTGGCTTGGGGATGCTAAAGAAGTGTGGGAATAGGGGGGCGGGGAAAGTGAAAATGGGTATTGGGATGGTGGACAGGAGGAGGCGGGAGAGGGAGGGAATGAAGAGGAGGACGGAAGGCCAGCCTTCCCTCACCATGAATTGGTGTGTTGTTGGTCTCTCTCTCTCTCTCTCTCTCTCTCTCTCTCTTTCTCTCTCCGCCTGTTTGTTTGTGCGTCTGTCCATCGTGCTGGTGGAGATGGTGGCTGGGTGGGGGCGGAGCCGGGCCACGGCGAGTACGGCTCCGGGCGGGAGCCTGCACAAATAATTAGGGGCAAAGGGAAGGCCCGTCAAGCCTGGGGCTGTGAATCGAGACCGGGAGTTTGTATTTGGTGTATTTTGGATTGACACTGCGGCTTTCATGGTCTATTAAAGGGATCGGCAAGCGCCCGAGCTGTCCGTTGGTGTGCAGTTTTATTAGGTCTCGACATCTAACCTCGACATTAAATTTCGCATGCCAAAGCTAATGTGAATCTCCACCGAGCTCATCATACACCCATATAACCCTAAAGGAGTCCTTAACGTAAACCTTAGAGCCCCTAAATCTCCGTCGTTGGGTGCCAAACGTACCTACCTGGAGCTCCTCGACTAAAGGGGTCGATTTTGACGCTGATAGGGCTCTGTAAAGGGCAAGGGAAGCTGGGATTTTTGAGCTAACGTATGGGCCTTTAGTACGTCGAAATTAAAATAAAAATCCCACGATTTTATCTTTGTAGGCGTTCCTAGTCCCGCCCTTGAGGTCCACCGAAGACAATTTTTTTCTAAATCTTGGAATCTTTTACGTTTATGCAAATATCGAAAATATAAATGCGGCAGAAGTTCTTTCTTCCTAAAGTTGCATTAAAGGGGCCGGGAAGTGTAGGATCGACCAGCATCGACCCCTGCTAACAATTTGGTCTCGATGCCGACAGCTACTTAAAATTTGTCGCTTCCAGGAAATTCTGAAGACGTAAATTTCGACCTCAATTTTAGGCCAGAATCCCAAGATCTTAATTTTTACGAAGGCTGCCTAAAGTGTAAGGGGGAATGAAATATAATAACGATTCAGAAACTTCGCGGAAGTTGCAAGCCGTACTGAACTGTCCGTAGTTGAAATGAAGAATCTGGCACGAATCCAGTTCGTTCACCTACGACCCCACCAAGACGACGATCTTCTCAAAAGCGCCTTTGATCGGAGGAGAGAGAGAGAGAGAGAGAGAGAGACCCGGAACCGTGTGACGTTCCCTCCCTCAGACCTCGGATTGCAGTCATTCGAAACGGCGGTGTGGGTGACCCGACGGCCTAAGCGGCTTTAGCCCCTCCCCTTCTGAATTCCAGTTCAACTCCTAATCCGTCAACTGACGAATGAATTGCGGCTACGAACACCTGGTGTGTCGATTGTCGAAAAATTCGTTCGGGGGAGGTCATGTTTGGGCTTGAGATTTTTGGACTGGGAGGATTAAGGGGATGTTCAAGGCTGCATGCTGCCTTGATTCTACCATCAACCATTAAAATGCAAAAATAATTCCAGATAAACTTGAAAAAACCCATTTATCGATTGAAAAGGCGTGTTTTGCACTGGGTACCACGGTTCGAGGGTTGGTAGAAGTAATAAATAACAATTGTTTAGGTAAGCTTACAATTATAATCAAAAAATACTGGTGAAAATATGGGAAAATGCGACACCACCGCGGGCCTTCCGCTTCTTCTGGCTCTCACGTCTTCGGAGGGACTCCTTCTTGCGGACAGATTTCCTAGAGACCGATCGGCCCATACTTGCATTGGGACCGGCTGCGCCACGGGCTGAAAATGGAGTTTTGTCGCGAAATTAGCTAGAGCTCCTGCTCCCTCTCCCTCTCACTCGTTCTCTCTCCTCCCTCTCTCTCTCTCACCTGGCTTGACGCGGTACGGGCTTATCCATTCGCGCTGGGAGCCCGGCTGGTAGGCGCTGAAGCCAAGGTTTTTAAGGCCCTCAAACTTCCCGATTTCCCACTTGTGTTAGTTCTAACTACTACTTGCATAAACACCTCAAAAAATCACCTAATGACCTGGTGGGTACCGACCTTAGCCTGCTTGCGGCCCAGCGAGTCGCGGATCCACAGCTCGCGGCCATAGGGCTGGATAAGGGAACCGTAATTGTCATGTAAAATATGGAAATTTATGTTCGCTACATACTACTTGTTAATACTATGTTTATCGTTTATTTTACATTTTTTTTACCTGGTCCCTGCGTCCGTTTTGCTCCGAGCTGTCGCGTCTACGGTAGCCGTCAGGGGGCATTCTTTGTTGGTCCTAAAAACGAGCTTTTTTTCTCGCCCACTCTCTCACTCTCCCTCTCTCTCGCTCTCTCTCTCTCTATCTCACTCTCTGGCTAACCTTCTGCTTCCGATGCTCATACGTAAAGTAAGCCTCCCGCTCCATCGGAGACTCCGAAGGAGTTGTATCGTATTGCTAAACCAAACCAGACTCAATATCTATGAGACGCTTACCTTCACCTCCTCAGATCTCTTCCGGTAATGAACGTTCTGATTCTCGCTCTCCCTCTCCTCCCCTCTCTTTGTGGGTCTATCTCTGCGGCTCCTATGTCTCGTGATCTCCTCCCTTCCCTGCCTTTCCCGCTCATCTTCCATACTGCGTCTCAGGTTTTCGTAGGCTTGCAGGCTTCTCCTGGATGTAAAATTTGTGGAGGTCGCACTTTTGTCTTTGTTTCTTTATCTCTCTCACGCTCTCTCTCACTCTCGCTCTCTTTCTCTCTCCTTCTCTCTCCTCCTCTGCAATTCCAACTTACATTTCGTACCCACTCCCCGATCTGTGCAGATTTGTCGGAGACTCCGTTCCCTGGAATTTTTGGTATTTTTTTAGCTCTTTAGAGACGTACGGTAGGTCCACGTTTCCCCTGAAGTGGACTGCCGCCTTCGTTGTGCTTCTTGGCAATGATCCCTGCAGCTGTTTTCTTCACGAAGCGACCACTCCTAAAAAATATATATGTGAAAAGCTTGGAGTTCGTGACGTCATGCATTGTGAAGGGGAAATTGGGCTTGGAAGGGGCTCAGACAGGGAAGAGATTTCTTCGGGTTCGTCGAATGCCAGCGACAAAACGAAACTCAGAAGTCAAAAGTCGCTTACGATGCGTACGTAGGAAGTTACGTGTCAATAGAACTTATTAGAAACATTCCGATTTCACGGTGAAACTGGGACAGTATCAGTGCCAGATAACAGTGCAAAACCGCAAGGGGTAGGAGTGCGGTACTTTTTCCAAAACTGCCACCTCTCGGCGGCGGCGTTCAGCGAGTTCGGCGGAGGCATTAGTGTGCCGGCGGGGCCTTTTTGGTAGGAGGAGAGGGCCGAGGAGGACTGGAAACTTGTAGATTTGTACACAATCTCTAGAAATCAGGCAGTTTTCGGTCGTTTTTAGCTCAATATCGTCATTATAAATTTTACTCCCTTAAAGAAACCGAAAAACCCCCCCCCCCCCCCCCCCCCCCCCCCAAACAGAGCGGGGGGGGTCCGTCATTTGTTTTCCCCCTGAGACCCCCCCGGGGCTTGGGGGGGTCCCCCCCCCCCCCCCCCCCCCCCCCCCCCCCTTTGTTGTGGCCCCCCCGGCGGGGACAAACAACCACGGCCCCCCCCCCCCCGGGGCCCAAACTTTTTTTTTTAAATTTTTTCCTTTTTTTAGTTTTAAAAATTAACCCCGAAAGCTCCAGTTCCTCAATAATTTCGGCTAATTGCCATGACAAAACCTAGACCTGACTCCTCCGAACCCCATCATGGACATCGTCGGTGCAGAGGGCACGCTCAAGGAGGGAGACGTTGATCGAGCCGTACGATTCGGTGGACTGGTTACGGTGGCGGTAGCTCTAAAAATAAAGAATTGTGCGATATCTTTCTCTCTTTCTCTCTCTCTCTCTCTCTCTCTCTCTTCTCACTATCGTTCTATCGTTTCCCCGCACGTCCCCCGCCTAATTTTGTTGCCTCCCTATCTCCTTGGACCTATCCCTTTTCCCCCCCTCTCTCTCTCACTCACTCTCTATCTATCTGGCTGTCTCTCTCAATCTCTCTCTCTCTCTCTCTCTGTCTCTCCTCTATTTCTCCCAATTATCCCTTTTTTTGCAGTTTCGGAAGCTCCAATAAGTCCAGAACTATTTATTCACACACCCATCTAAATACCGTATACCAACATCCCGCCAAACATCAATTTTTTTGGAAAATTTTTGGTAAATTTGCATAAATAACTTGGTATGTTTAAGAGTTTGGACTTATTGAAGCTCCCGACCGCAAATAGGATTTTTACTTTTTTATCACCGCAAGCACACCCGGAAATTTTGGGATAGCGGGGTCACAGGGGGGTCCCTATGGATTTTTGGGGGCTCCGGGAGCTTCAATAGGTCTTGAAAAAGGGGTATTGGGTTGAAGGGCAAATATTGGGAAAGCACGACAACATCAAAACAAACGGAATTAAGAAAATCAGGAAATTCAGGCAAAGAAACGCTTCACCGGAATCAACGGTACCTTCGCCGAGTTGTCCGAGTTGACACGTTCCTGCTGAAATAAAAAATTTGTTTAATTTTAGTGGTTTTGAGACCACAGCAAAGCTTACGCCAAGTCTCGGCCTAAACCTAAGCTAAGCCTAAGCTTCTAAGCCTGCATACCTTTTCATGACGAACGCTGCGACCCTCTCGTTCGGCCTTCCGGAATTGCGAGGGAACTTCTTTCTTAAAAATGACTTTATAGAAATCTCAAATGTGTTATTAATTTATAAAAAATTATCATTAAAGCCATTAAAGTACCCACCACGCCCTGGCATCGAATCTCAGTATTGACCATCGGCAGAGCGTTCATATGGCTCCACAGCGTTTCGGACAGGCCAATACCTAAAAAAGCGGTTTTAAGGACTTTAAAAAGCTATTTTAATAGATTGAAGATGATAATAACACACCAAGATAATTCAACACCTCACGATGACTCTTGAAATACAAAAGTAGACGCTCGGCTTCATCGTTAAGCTCGCGGATCGATTCCGGCAATTGCCGAATGGTAGTGCCCGCCTGGAACTGGAAACTGCCGTTATTGTAATGATTAGATACCTTTATCGGTGTCATAGGTGGTGGTAGCTCATCAGAGCCCATGGCCGAGTCGGTCGAGGCGGAAGTGGGATCCCCGTTTTGCGAGGAACCAGATGGAGAAGCTAAATTGATAGGATTTCATCCTTTCCCCGCCGTTTTTGGTACTATTCTGGTTCATATGAACTCACGAGCATTCTTCAGCGCTCTAGATGGCCCCCGAGAACGAATTCCATCTTCCAATTGAGAATCCGCGCTATGGCGCCCCTCCTTTTCGGCCTGAAATCAAGTTTAAGAATTGCTCGCTCCGCGCCCCCGAAACGCCACCCGGCTGGCTCACCCCGGGGACAGGGGGTATAAAAAGAGGCCGCCCCCTTTCCCAGCCCTCATGCCTCGATGACGACAAACTCAGCTCACTCTAAAAGAGTATATGTTGATACACGCCCCTATCTTAGAGCATTTTTTGCTTTTTTATATTTTTTGTAAACTTTGTTAATATCGTTATTCCCTTTCAATATCGATGCTGTCTAATTTCCGTTTTTACCTGTGCAATCCTCGCTCGTTCCAAGGCTCGTTCTTCCTCAAGACGTTTTTCATTGGAGATCCGCTCCAGTTCGGATCTTTCCTAAAACTTGTTGGTGAGTGCATTTTTATTTAATAAATTTTGCATTTTTCTAAAACAGTAAAACTAACACTAATTTAATAAATAATAGCTTACATGCGCCAATTTTCTCTGCCTCTCCTCATCTTCCCGAACGGCTCGCTCGCGTTGTTCTTCTTCCCGGCGGCGTTGTTCCTGCGATATTTCTTTGATTGAATATTATTTTAACCACTGAATTTTATTCTACTGAGAAAATTTAACACACACTAAACTTAATTTTCACTTATTGTAACAAATTTATTTTGATTAAACTTACAGCCTCAACCTTTCGCCGCTCCTCCTCCATTCTACGCTCTTGCTCCTTGCGGCGTTCCTTAGAAATTAAGCGATTTCCGGTAAAAAATCAATAAAGCTTACCTCAGCCATTTTCCGCTCCTCCTCCCTACATCTTTCCACTTCCGCCCGATCATCATCTCGTTTTTTCTCTTCCTCCCGTCTTCTCTCATCCTGACGGTCGCGCTCCCTCTGTTTCATCTGCTCCTCACGACGTCGCTGCTCCTATAAATCTCATGCTCCTTTTCTGGGTCTCAAAACCTCAATCTGGCGATTCCGTTCTTCGTCCCGGCGTCTTTCCTCGTCACGGATGCGCTGTTCATCCGTGTAGCGGCGGTCACGATCATTCTGAAGTTGTTAAAAAAAATTACGTATATCATCAATGGCTTACTTCCGGTTCTGTCGATACCCTTCTGGAGCCAGAGCGTTCATGAGCGGGGACTGCTGGTGCGAGATTGGCTCGACGCTCATTCCTAAGGTGGTTTTGTATTTCAAAGTAGAAAAATCGTAAGTATAAATCCAATTAAGGCTAACCTCTGTTCCTTCAACGTATTCACCCCGTCTTCAATCTTGATAGGCCAATCGCCGGTGTTCATCTTATGCACAACCTACAGTACATTTTTCAAGTGGTAAATTTAGGTTATCCGTGATACCTCGTGTACATTATGCTTCTGCAGTCCGTTATGCCTTCCAGCTGGCTCGATCGATTTCCGCTCATTACTCTTCATGAAGGGATTCGTCGATACCTTATTGGCTGCTGATAGTAGCTTGATATCATCACGGCGTTCTTGCTGGAAAACCAAAATTTATTGAAGATGCGTAAGAAGCCCACGCAATAGCCTTACTAGCCTTTAAGGAATGTTCTAGAAAATTTCTAAGTACCCGATTCTCCCTCGGCACCTTATCCTCCGACTTTGGGCTCAACTCCCTCGGATTGGTCAGCTTGATGGCGTTCAGAATGGCTTTCACGGGCCCTCCGTGCTGTGGCGGGGCTGGGCGAAGCTCCGGGGAGTGATCGTAAGTTTTCTAAATTCCAGAGTTTTCAAAAGCTAGCAAGTTTTACCTTATTCTGGGCTGGCGGTGGCGGTCCGATTGATATCGTCGTGTTTTTGACAATGAGCTAGAAGAAAATATACAAATAACATTTGAAAAGTGGTTTATATCTTCGCGTGGGAACCTACATTTGGTCTCTGCTCGTGCTCACGGCGCTCGCGCTCTTGAGCGGCCTTCTTTTGGCCAGGGGTGGCGGGAGGATGGTGGGGGCCTGAAAATACGAAAAATATCGATCCTGGATGGTTTTGAGTTAGAAGTGAAAACAATTAATCCCTTGTTGCTTACCATGGCCGGGATATCCAGTCGGTGGCGGTGGAGGCGGTGGTACAGGGCTATTCTCCTCCGTATGTCTCCCGCTACGCGACTCACGCAGCATGCGGTCATCCCTGAAATTGTGCTTGGTAAACGGTGCCGTTACGGCGCCTTCCAAGGAACAAGCAAAGTCGAAAAGAGTTTTGTCGCCTAGTCCTTCTAAAAGCAGTATCATCCCATACCTGACAACACTCTTCACCGGACTGCCCCTTTCTTCTACGATGCGCTTCACCGGGCTGCCCTCGCGGGTTCTGAAACTAAAACGATCAGCTTTCAAACCTATCTGCTGGGTGGATATCTAAAAACTGTCCCACTTACCGTACTGTACTGCGTCGGCCATCTTCTCGGTATGAATATTTTTCCTCAGCAGGGTGGTAGCTGTCGATCTGGAATCTTGGGGTTTAATTGGAAGCGGCGCTTGTGCGTCGCGTATCGCAGTCGTATATTATCCAAATACAGGCATCCGTTAACTGACCCTTTAAACCTACCTCAATTTGCTGAACACCTCGCCGGGGTACCGTCTCGTAGGTATCATCACCCTCCCAGCCTCCGAAATTTGCGTTTCCTAAGAATCGCGAAATGATGACGCCCAGTTTGCGGTGACGTACCTCGCTGTTGAGGCGGATACGCCCTTCTCCTGTCGTGAGTATCGTACTCTCCGCCTGCACCCTCCTCATCGTAATAGTCATCCCTCTCGTACTGGTCGTAGTTACCGTAGTCGTAAGCGTCAAAGTCGTCTTGGTAGCGGGCAGGGCTCTATAGGAATTTTTGATACTTATTTAGCTACGGCGGATCACTGTACGCCTATTTAAGGTTATATTTTCGATACTACCCATTCGCTATTATGACAAAATCGATACCTGATGACCCTGTGGTCCCCGGACTCGGGACATCCTGCACTCCGCTACTGTACTTCAGATGTTGGCTGTACGCTGTAAATACTACTATTAATTAAATCCTCATACGGAACTTCCAAACGAAGGCTTTGAACCGAACGATGAGGGTAGCAGAGATTCCGGTGAGGGTAGGAAAAACTGGCTAACAAGGCAAATTTGGAAGGCTGGCTAGCAGAGACCATTTAGGAGTTGCGGGCAGGCTAGCAGAGACACCTTCGGGCAGGGAAGTTAGCGTGTTTTTTCGATAAAGGCAAGCGTGCAGAATTCTATGGGAAAGGCAGACCAGCAGGCGTTTTTGGGAAGCGCAGCCTAGCAAAGTCTCGTTAGGAAAGGGCAGAGGAGCAGAGATTCTTTGAGAAAACGTTTTTGATAAAGGCAACAAGGCAAACTATCAGAGATTCCGTAGTAAAAGGTCAGCTAATAAAATTTGTGGGAAAAGGGTGGCTAGCAGAGAATCCTTAGGAAAAGGCAAGCTAACAATCATTATTTGCGATACGAGGCTTCGGAGTTGAAGCTCCTTGGGAGAATCAGATGAGGAAAAATATTCCGTGAATGGAAAGCTAGCGGAGATTCTGTAGGAAGGAATAAATATCAAAGATCTTTTAGGCATGATCGCAGAGATCTTGGGAAAAGCCTTGCTAGTAGCGTGTACTGCGGTAATCCAGCCAGCAAGAATTCTTAGCGAAACCTACCAGATGCAGTTAAAGTGCCATAAAAGAACAAGAAAATGCATCTTAACCTCCAGAACTTCCGATAGAATGCAATGGGCCACCGAACCCACCGGGAAATGGACAACAAGTGCGACCCGTACCGGATGTCCAGTCCGTTCGGGTGGGTGTTACGGTGAAGGAAGGCCCCCGCGTCGGCTATTTGCCCCAGCTGACAGCGGATGACAGCCGCCACCACGACCAAGGCGACGACGCGAGAATCAGCACAAACCATCAGCCAAAAGAGGGGCAAAGGGACACTACCAAATCACCGTAGACACTACCAAACCTGGATGGAGTGGGTGGGTGCAGAGAAGACATTGAACCTCCCGAAATGGGGGACCCGCGAACGGGGATCTGTCTGGTGGTGCGCAACAAACAGGGGAGTGCTGCGGAATTGGGGAATTCTGGGGGTTGAGCGGATTTTTGAGGATCAATGAGGCTTTCCACAGGTTTCGGCATATAAATAAGTCTATTCTGGCAGCTGATATTCCCAAAACGTCGTTTTATCCAGATAACGCAGCAAGCGGTCGCCAGCAAAAATCGTTTTTGAAAATTTTTGACGGTATAAGATGCTAGAGAAAGCCAGAGAAAAGCGTAAGAAAGAGAGAGAGAATGAGAGAGAGAGCGAGAGAGAGAGAGGGAGTGAGAGGTAGCGAGAGAGAGAGGGATGGAACGGCTGCACAATACGTCTCATGCCTCTTTTTGACCCAAAAGTTTCTGGAAGTTTTTTTTGGATCACAGGCCATTTTCAGGACGACTTTTCAAGCTCGGATCTTTTTCCGAAAGTCTTTTTCACCTCGGTTGACTTCCGGAAAGTCTTCCGAAGCCGGCCGCGCTTCCGGATTCTCCTGACAGATGTCGATTTAACGTTTAACGTCGATTTGATCAGCTCCCAGAAAAATTTTGATGCGGCTGATAGAAAAGATCGGCTCCTAGAAATTTTCCCCTCTTCGAGCCCTGAAATCCGCTCACAAATTCCGGTGTCCGTTTCCACTCCGGAAGCGTACGTGAGATTCCGGGTATTCCGGAAATCGCTCGAGTGTCCGTAGTTGTCGACCTTTCTTTGATGCAAGGAGTCGATTTTCGGCTGGGTAAAGAATTTATCATCTCCAGCTTAACACTACGCCTTCCCCATCGTTCCCAATTTTTTTCTGATACCCCACCATCCCCCCTATGCCACTAATGACAATTGTGTGGCAACTGGAGAGTCTGTGAGCTTTAGCTCGTTAGCGCCTTCCCCCCCCCAGTTGGCCCCCCAATCAAATATGGACCAGATCCGAAAACAACCGGGGCCCTAACCCCCATATCTGGGAGGGCCCCATCGCGCAATCTGGCTTGACCCCCGGGCCCATACCCCACTGTTAGGGAGGGCCCTAACCCGTCATTTGGGGTGGCGCGCGCGAAACAGTGGCTGATCTCGGGTTGATTGTTCCTTGCCCGTCGAGCATTAATATGATAGATGAGGTTGTGATGATGGCCGGAAACGTCGTAGAAAAATTAAAAAATGAATCGATAAAATTAGATTTCCTCAAAAATCTCCGCTAGCTTGCCGAGGGTACTCATTAATAGATGGGCCGAACGGAAGACCAGCAACGGCAGGAAATGCTCCGAAACATCCCCAAGGATCTCTGCTAGCTCGTCAGAACGTATCTCCTCCTGGGCGCACTAATGACGGACTGTGCGACAGAAAGATGATGATATGAAAGCCCAATGCTTCCTAAAAAATCTCTGCTAACCTAACAACTAACACCTGCCAAAGCCAAAAATCCCAAAGAATCTCTGCTGGCTTGCCGGATCGGGCTTTTAATGGTGGTATAAATGGGGATTTAATGGAGGTTCAATCAACTTACCATAATGTCCAAAAACAAATCCATAGCATTTTTCTTGACTCGGAGGGGATTTATTGCCTCAAGCACTCATGCCAGGTTGCCAGGCAGCTTCCGGCTGATCGATACCTTTAATTTTGGATCACATATTTTTGCGCTTGTTTCTGAACAGTTCCCCAATGATCTCTGCTAGCTTTTCCAAGGATTAGCGTAGAACTACCATTTTTCCAATGTTGTGTAGCCTTGCCGGCACCTGCAAAATTAATTCTAGCCCGTCCTTTACGTGGAACATTTATAGATCCGTTGGTAATTTGCAGGTAAAGTTGTATCGCAGAGCGCTAGGTATTCTAGGCTTGAAATTATAGTAGAGCGGATATTTCATATTAGCTTTAAGTCAACCCCCAATTTTTTTTTTGAGATGAATTCACTCCCCCCGTAGGTCACCACCTCGTCTGATAGCCCCCCGTCCTATCGGACTCTATCAGCTCACCTCCACTCGCGCGCCCCGGATTTATAGCCCTGGCCGGATGGACAGGAGAGTAGATTGCGCAGTGTCTATTGGTTTGTCGTGTAGTCGCCCCCAGGGGAAGGTCATCGCAGTTTATTTTTCGATAAGCAGGTGACGCTGGACGAGCCCTATAAGCTGGCAGAGTGATACGGGGGGAGTGGCGAGTCGTTAGCAACACTTGTTTATGGCTCAGAGGGTGAGCTAGGAAAATACCATGATAAACAGCTCAAAAGGGTGCTTCTCAGATTTCAAGGGGCAGGGAAGCGTAAAAAAACTTCCTTTTCTCTCGCCTAGGTATCGCCAAAAACGCGTTGCGTTCAACTACGTTGGACGCAACTACGTAAAATCAGCGGTAGCGCGACGTTCCTCGTTACCAAAAAAAGGTAGATACGCGCTGGGACCTTTAAAGGGGCAGGTAAGGCAGGGCTAAGGAATGTTGTTATGGATTAGGGCCGGCAAGCCGGCGTGCGCGTTGCGTATCGCGGTCCAAATCAGAAAACAATCCGGGACCGGCAGGTTCCATCGACATATTGTACGTACCATCTTTTGTCGTACCATATGACTTTGGCTATCGTATTCGGAAAATCCTGTTTATTTCTGGCAAAACCTCCCCAATTCGCTGCTTCCATAACTTCGTCGCTACCTAAAACTTGCCCCAACTTGCGCTCCCTACCTGCTGGGCCATAAACTCTGCTCCATGCATCGCCTCGGGCCATCCCCAATCCCCCGAAAAAGCCCGGCTCCCAGCCGCAAATCAGACAGACGCGCGGCGCCCCGCTGCGAGACCCCGAGGAGTGTTGCCCCCGGCTATTCAAGGGCTCAAGACTTCCTTGGGAGGGCTGTAAATCTTCTGATCATGCGGGATGTCAGCATGATGAGCTGATGACAGAAAAAATGCTAAATTTGGTGGGGCGATCGATTGTGCGCCAAGATAGCATCGGACTTTTTGGGCTGCATCGAGATACCAGAAAATTTCCAAAAATAAAGATCAAATTTTGCTTACTTTAGATGTCGACGATGTGATAGTACAAATTAGGTTAAAGAGCCGCTACAATGCTAAATCGACCACTCGGGTGGCTAGGTCTAGACAACGCAAAGGTACCCTAAACACAGTTCTTATTCTAGTAGTATTAAAAAAGCAACAGTGAACTGCGCAACTGTCTAGACCTAGTCATTCGAAGGGAAGATTTTGACGCTAAAACCCCTTTAAAAGGACGATAATCTATAGAATCTGGTAGGCTCTCAGTCTCCTAAAACTTTTGCCACTTCGCGACATGCCCGTAAGCACCGCGCCTGATCACGATTACTGCGCGTAATCGGTTACGCAATGTAACGTTCGTGCGGAAAATTTATTGGGAATTCCCTTTAATCGCGGTAAAAACTTATTCCTCAGCGCTCCGAGTACATAGAAAAATCTCACCTTTCCAGGCTTGACCTCGCCACAAGGGCCCTCTACTCGATAGTAGATCTAAAGGATTCCACCCTTTACTCCGACCATTCAACACCCATCCCTTCATCTTCACGACCCTCTTTTATTCTCTACCATAGTCTCCATTACCCCCTAGCCCTAGTAAGTTCTGGTTGGTGTGAACCGAGTGTGATGGGTCACTTCTTCTCCTCCTCCTCACTGCCAATGTGGGTGTCTATGGGTGTGAATGGGTATCCATTCACAAGCGGCATCTTCAAAGCTCGCACATCCCGGGCCATTGGCCGCCAATCCGGGCGCGTCCATAGGGGATGGTGGTGGAAACTTGAAAAAGGAGTGGTAATGAGCGTCGGAAGCTGGGTACTTTGATTTTCTGATGTCTTTGTATCTCTCTGATCCGCTCTCACTGTCTCACTCTCTCTTTTTTCTTTCACTCTCTTTCTCGCTCTCTCTCTCCCCCCTCTCTCTCTCTGTTTCTCAATCACAATTTAACCGTTTCTCGGTCTCTCACTCTCTCGATTGAACTC